ATCACACAAGAGTCTTTATTGCAAGTTCAAGCCTGGACTCACAACCGTTCCCAACACAGTGGTTCCAGGGAGTGACTTCCTGCCCTTTGTTCAGTGAGATTTTATAGGTTTGGGGGGGCTACTCTATGGGTCACAATATCACACAGCAAATCATTTCATACCACGGGAAAGTCAAACAACAACTCTTAACATTGATTAGCTCCTTCACTGGCGGGAACAAGTTGGGTGGGGGTGATTGGTTGGTACAGGAGGGGGAGTCCTTTAAACTGATTGGTTTAGGCCACCCTGTCTCATGCTGATTGGTGGTTGCTAGGGGGTTGCTATGGGTCTTCACCTAGCCTAACTGAGTCAGGGACACCTGGTGCAGCAGATCTTCCTGTTATTTGCAGATAAACAACTCAGCAGGGTGGGTATGTGCTTAGGAGTGCTCTGTGGGTTTTTCCCAGGACAAGACGGCCCTGTCCTTAGGACAGGCCTTGAGGTAGAAGCTGGTTTCTCAAAAATGGAGTCACATCAGTTTCTCAACAGGTGGAAGTTTACCTGTTACATTTGGGAACTCTTAACAAGGCACAGAGGTAAATCTTTTTTTTTTTTTTTTTTTTTTTTTTTTTTTTTTTTTTTTTGGTACCAGGGACTGAACACTCAGAGGCACTCGACCACTGAGCCACATTCCCATCCCCATTTTGTATTTTATATAGAGACAGGTTCTCACTGAGTTGCTGAGCACCTTGCCATTGCTGAGGCTGACTTTGTGATCCTCCTGTCTCAGCCTCCCCAGCCACTGGGATTACAGATGTGTGCCACCACACCAGGCTCAGAGGTCAAATCTGAAGGCAGATGTTCCCGTGGGAAGTCCAGAGTGGAGACTCCAAAGGTGGCTCGCACTCTCCTGCTCAGTGCTGCCATTTTTAGCCCCCTAGCTGTTTGCTGCTGTGCTTGCCTCCCGATCAAAACCTGTTCCCCACAGCCCCCAACGTCACGTGCTCAGACCAGCATTCCAAGGAGGAAAGGTACCAGGACCAAAGGTCTCTTTCTCCAGGGGCTCCACTTTCTTACCAGAGAAGCAGAATCTTTACCAGAAAGTCCCAGCAAACTTTCCTCTCATTGGCCAGAAAGGTTGCAGGGCGATCCCAGGCCTTAAAGGACACTGGGAGTGTTGGTCTCCGCCATTATCACTGGTGATTTAGATTAAGCACAATGAATGGCCTGGGGCTGAGAAGGGGGTGTGTATTCCTAAACCGAGGGCCTCCACCTTCTCTCTGACCAAAAGGGGATCTCTGGGTGGTGATAAAGGAGCAGAGGAAGGGCTGGTGGGCGGCAATGAGTGGGGTTGAGGGGTGGGTGCCCACACCCACTTTTATTTGTGGAGATGGCACCTCCATTTTTCCTTCTGTAATGATCCCTCCCCTCACACTCAAAGCATTTGGGGTGTAGACAATTTTATCCCCCACACTGAGGAGTCAGGAAATGACACAGGTACACGGGTGGGGTTGCCAGATAACACACACAGGGAGCATACTTGGGAATATTTATTTGTTTATTTGTTTGTTCTCATTTGTTATACATGACAGCAGAATGCATTTCAATTCATAGTACACATATGGAGCACAATTTTTTGTGTCTCTGGTCATACACAAGGTAGAGTCACACCATTCGTGTCTTCATACATGTACTCGGAGCAATGATGTCCATCTCATTCCACCATCTTTCCTATTCCACTGCCCCCTCCCTTCCCCTCCCTCCCCTTTGCCCTATCTAGAGTTCCTCCCTTCCCCCCATGCTCCCCCCACATTCCCATTATGGATCAGCATCCTCAAATCAGAGAAAGCATTCAGCATTTGATTTCTGTGATTAGCTTACTTAACTTTGCATGATATTCTCCAACTCCATCCATTTACCTGCAGGTACCATAATTGTATTCTCTTTTATTGCTGAGTAACATTCCATTGTGTATATACACCACAGTTTCTTTATCCATTCATCTTCTAAAGGGCATCTAGGTTGGTTCCACAGTTTAGCTATTGTGAATTGTGCTGCTATAAACAGTGATGTGGCTGTGTCCCTGTAGTTTGCTGTCTTTAAGTCCTTGGGGTAAAAAAAAAAAAAAAGTCCTTGGGGTATAGACTGAGGAGAGAGACAGCTGGGTCAAATGGGGGTTCCATTCCAAGTTCTCCAAGGAATCTCCAAACTGCTTTCCACATTAGTTGCCCCAATTTGCAATCCATGCTTGTGAATATTGATCCTAAAAATGTATTCATTGTCTGAAATTCAAATGTTACTCAGTGTCCTATATTTTTATATGCTAAATCTGGCATCAAGATCCGGCCTACCCATAACATAAGGATGTTACCAAACCCAGGTCCAGAAGCTAATCCACCCATAAACCAGTGTCTGATAAACCGAGTGGGGAGGAGGCTTATTCAGAGGCCATGGAATGGAGAAGTGGGGGCTCTGCTCTCCGATCAGCCTCTGTGCTCTGGGGGCAGACACAGGTAGGAAGAATGGGGGGGAAGGCCAGGATGACAAAGGGAAGGATGTCCCATCTGAATTTTGGGAACAGGCAGCGATCGTGGCTCAGGTGTCACCACTTACTGCTCCCTGTGTTTCTGGTCATGGCGGCTGGTGGCGTCTTTAGCCTTGAAGGGGGAGGAGAGAGGCTGAGCACGTCTAGAGGGAGTAAACCTGTATTACAGTTCTGCTGAGTCGAATGTGACCCAAGGTTAAGGCAGCAAAAGTG